TTCCCCGTATATTATTCGCCACGGAACACTTTTGGAGGCTTGAATATTGCCCAAGAGTAAAGCATAAATGATCGCATAAAATGTACACATACAAATGATAAACCTGAACCTCGATCTTCTTAGCCGTAGCCCTATTAACACGAAAGCATATAAACCTTAAAGTCTATATCGTTATATATGGTAGTAATGTATATTTTTGATATTATATTTCTGCATATATATATGTATATATATATATATATATATATATATATATATATATATATATATATATATATATATCATATATATATATGCATGTGTGTATACATATGTGTTTAAGTATATATATGTGTGTGTATACTGTATATATTATGTATGTATGTACACATTTCTGTATGTATATATAAATATATATACATAGAAGCACACATACACGCGCGCGCGCGCGCCCGTAAATACTTTTAAACTAGTACTTAGTGCAACGGTGGATTAGGATTAAACTCAAAACGGTATTAAGAGTTAAGGACGCTACAGAAGACGACCTTAGTGCTGGAATTAATTTAGGCGTTGAGACAGGTAGGTTATTTTCACATGGGTCTTGCTCAAACCTAGAATTCACGATCACTCCTCCAGTAACCATTCACGCACACACAAACACGCGCGCTATTGCGTGTGCGTGTGTAGACCCGGATCATCCTGTCGGCTAGTATAGGCTGCAGCCGAGGGACCCTGACGCTTTACATATATATATATATATATATATATATATATATATATATATATATATATATACACATATATATATATATATATATATATTTTTTTTTTTTTTTCCTTTCTTTCTTTCTTTCTTTATTGGATGAGAGGATATTTTACTGGTATTATAATGGTGCTTCTTAATGAATATTTTCAAAAACAAAAGATATTTATTTCTTTTACCTTCCGAGTCCAGCAGAACCGTTACACACAAAAAAATATGCTGAACTACATGTATAAAGGTAAAATAACGTTGAATTAGAAGACTTTTTATGAGAAACGACATCAAAATGCTAATGAACACTAGCACCTACAGCAAAATCACATGGCTCACAGAACTGGCAGACATCCCACAGGAGTACTACTCGTTCTGTGAATGAAAGGATCGGAATTGTTTTTAGTCATTAATCGATCAAAGTGAGGAGCCTGACAGGTCTACTGCGTGCCGCCATTTTTATCGTCTCCAGCGAGGAAAGGGAACTGGATGGCAGGCTTCCTTCAAATTTCCGGGCATAATGTCGGCAATCCGTGTTCAAGGCTATTTTTAGTTTAGAATCTTTATGAATTGCGGCAACTCTAGTACCTCTGATGGAACAGTTCTCTTTACTTTGACTTCTCCACTGAAAATGTTCGTTACTCCAAAGTAACTTTGGGTGGCTCCATTCACATCTTACAGCCAGATGACATTCACAAAGGTATGCAATATACCTGACTGTCACGGTCTGTAATTGGTATTTTATCAGTATGTTGCTACAGCTATTCGTCCGGACTCAGGAGTTGGAACCAAAAGATTAAAATCAAATGCTTTACTAAGGGTTACGACCCACATATACTTTAAGAGCAATCTATTCAGTTGGAAATAACAAAGTTAAAACTAGAAGATATTGATTATGAAGAAAAGATATTGACGGAAGTTTGTATCAGGATTTGGAGGGTCCAGTATACCTGAAATTGGAGAAGTTGGTTATACAACTGCTAAGGAGAAAAGTGATGTCATCCAATGACATCAGAACTTTGGAATCTCAGTGCTAACAAAGCGCATACTTCAATATACCGGTCAGGTATATTGATGTTTGCGTTTTGTTAGCACTGAGTAAACTCGTTACGATACTCAAACAATATAAAACAAAAGACCTGAGACTTCCAGACAATAATCTTGGTCCATCATGCATCACGGGTATTTGCGGCGCATTGAGTCACTGAAGAGCGCCGTCGTGAGTTTGGTCATGGGCTGCTTGCAGCCTACATCAACCTCAAAAAATGTTTGTTTGGCTTTGTGCATTGTGAATCGCAACCGGAGATCTGTGACTGAGGACAATTCCATCAAGGATCATTGGATTAATAACAAGCCTAGTCCTAGTACCGAAATGCTGTGAAGTGTGATGAGGGGGCTATCTAGCTTCATTTCTATTAGTTTAGGAGTTAGGCAATACTTGCATGGACTGGATACTGGGGAGAGCAAAGTCATTGTGAAGCAACACTGGGCAATAATCAGATTACGGACTTTGCTGACCATATTAGTGTTCTGAGTCTCTGGCGGTTCTAGATACATTTAGCAATGAAGCGATGCCTTTGGGGACAATAACAAGATCTAGGACTGTGGGAGACTGCTAGAAGAACTTTTTCAATCGGTGCGTGCTTGCGGCTTGGTAGCAGCAGTCATAGTAAATGTCGGAAACTATACAGAAGGACCAAATTATGTGTCTTCAAGGCCCTGACATTGCCAGTTTTATTCTATGGTGATGAAGCGCTATCCAATGCCTTGGGATCTTGCCTTGATGCCTCTTGTATCAGGACCTAGTGCTAGAGTATGAGGTTCAATTGGCAGGATCATGTGTCCAACCGATGTGGCCTGGGAATATCGACATGGTAAAATGGGAACATGTCACACATCATGCAACCGTATATTACCCAAATTGATCTACCTTTGCCTTTGTGTTTACATAACAGTGTTCTGTGATGTATTCTATGATTAAAATAGTTTTACATTGTAAAATTAGGATATAGCATGAGTATATCATCCAATTTATCAGACGAAATTAAAGAATCACATAGTTCTTTATACCTCATGTCAGGTGGTCTAAAAGGCTATATCACATGACACTCCAAGATATAATGCTCAAACGTTCGCATATTTTCCTCGTTACACAGTCTACATCTAGATTCATCTGCACTTCATGCACCTTGCAGTTGCCAGTACATTCTATAACCTAAGCTTATTCTGGCAATAACCACGTCACATTGTCTGCTTTTACTTCGGCGCCTCCCATAGGAGGGCTTACTTTCTCTATACTGAATGTAGTGCCTTATGCTACAGCTTTCAGGCCTTTTTGAGCTCGTCAGATCTATCAGTTCTTCCTTATGAGAACTTTTTAATATATGTGCAACCCTAAAAGAGGCATCCCAAGATCTATATTTACAATATCTTTGCTGCAAGCTTCTTTCGATAATTTGTCTACGTGGTCGTGCTTGCGCATACCAACACGAGATGGTATTCACACAGGGAGCGTTGGTGTGAAATTTGGGGGCTTCGTCCCGTAGACTTACACCGTCCGAGACGCCTCAGGAACACGTGCGCGCGGCCTCTTCTCTCGCGTCCCGGCCTCCGAGTGTAATGTTCACTAGAATGGCGAACGATGATATTTCTGACCGGAATTTTACGTTGTAAAACCCCATTATATCGATAGAACTACATATACCGTATGTTACCCATATTAAAAATATGCATTAAAAAAATGCGATATTTCTGTACGCTACAATTTTATGCGTAGCACACGCTTTTTTTGTCCGAAATAAACGTAGTATGGCACATATTGTACCTGAATAGTAGATCTATTCAATGATACAATTCGTTTTTGCATTTTTTATGTGCTTCTCGTAAGTGTCCTATATATCAAAAAAAAAAAAAAAAAAAAACTTTTTGGTGCTCTAAAAGTCATCTACATAAAATATTCACCAGAAAACTAGGTCGAAATCGAAAAGTGTGCATTCACCATACAAAAGATGAAAGATTGTTCTATTCAAGAAATGAAACAAGAATGATTTTTTTCTTTTTAATTTTGGAACAATTATGTCGAAAGTATACATATTTCGGTTTCGACCGCTCTACCAAACGTAAATTTAGTCGTATATAAACATATCAATAGCTTATTTTATAGGTAAATAAAATACCTAAGGAATGTTTTCGACTTTGCCCTCTGCTTCTTGTAAAAGTGACATATTATAAAGAGTAGGTAAAATATCCCCCCTCTCAAAAAAAAAAAAAAAAAAAAAAAAAAGTGAAATCGAAAAAAGTCACACATTCCGTAAATATTGGATGTATCTGTTAAGAAAAATCAGAATTCCACTTTATTTTTGTTATTTTCGCCGTTTGGTCAAATTTCATTTCTTTTTTCGCTTTTTTACTATAACTCAAAACGTACGAATATGCATGAAATATCCGAAGTAAGAGGAATGCATCTGGCAACTCGATTGAAGTTAACCGTCTGCTCGATTCTTGTCGCGCAAGAAGTGTCACGTTCCCCGTCTTCCCGCGGTCCAACTACGGCCCGCGGGCCACATCCGGCCCTTTGTGCGTCCCTGTCCGGCCCGCGAGAGGCCTGACAGGGACTAAATATATAATTTATTAAAATATTTTTTAAAGTACATAATTTATCAAACATATGATTTATTAAATATATGATTTATTAAATATATAATTTATTAAGTATATATATTTATTGAATATATATATTTATTAGATATATATATTTATTACATATATATATTGATTGAATATGTTTATTAAATATATGTACTTATTATATATATATATATATTTATTTATTTATTTATTAGATTATATATATATATATATATATATATATATATATATATATATATATATATATATATATATATATATATATATATATATATATATATATATATTAAATATATAATTTATTAAATATAATGCCCTATATATATAATAGTGCATTTTACAGTGGCACAATTCAGGTTTCTCATGTGGCCTCTTGTAAAAATTAATTGCCCACCCCTGGACTAGATGCTTAAACACTTTTTAAACGATAATTTATAGGTAGGGAGAATTTATTTTCATATCAACTATATTAATATAAACCACAAGATGATATACTGTATTACTCACGAGGCTGAAAAGGTCAGGTATAATTTGTTTACCCAAAAAATATTTCAATTAGTTATCAGGAATATAAAGGGACCGCGTATATGCGATCCCTTTATATTCCTGATCCCTGTACTATGTACATGTAAACAAACATTATGCAATCCGTACTACATAAGTGCATCAATAGTTACACAATAATAAAAATGTGGAAATGGAAGATTTGGTGAAGCAGAGATAGAAAGATACTGTAAATAGAACTCTACGTGGAGAATTTTGAAAGTGTCTTCATTTAACCTAATACATAAACAACACATCTTTCAAATAAACTGCCGAAGGTACTGTATGACAGCGAAGCATGTATCTAGACTTTCTCACCTACATTGTAAGTGATGTTACCAATAATGCTTTATGAATGTGATAAAAGTTGTCTAAATCATGGGTGATATAATTTTGAGGAGATTGGTTTAACATATCCATTTGTAACCTGTAGTAATAGTGAAAATGTCCTGTGTTAACTAGAGGGTTGTCTTGAGTTGTCATTTATGATAATTGTTACTAAGAGCAACGCACCATGCAGAGATGACAGCCCAAAACCAGGATATCATGCGAATGCAAACACCCAACCTAACCTGTCCTATATTTTATTTATTCCCTAGATGGGAGGGCAATCCCCATTGTACCCCCCATTTATGATCACTTCATGCCAATCTATAGAAAACAGACATTAAGAAGTCTGTCTGTATGAGGGTGTTGTGGACTTAATCTCTAAGTAGTGATATACTGCAGACATTTCCTTCAATTACTGATAGATATGAGGCCATTGCAGCGTAATCTATGTTGTTTCTAATATTGTTTCTTATGCTCCATAAGATGGCATTGTCCATTTCCCTTATCTCCATGCATCACTTTTGGTAACCTATACTGTCCTTTTTATTTACAATTTTAACTTTCAAATTATTTTGTTAATTAAGTACTGTATTGGAGAAGTTATATAGCCTGTCATTGATAAGGGTGATAAGGGAATAGCAGGGGAAAATCTATCTGCAATCAGCCTCTCCTAGTCATTGGTTGTTCTGAAGATTTTGTGCTAACTAGTAATCTTATTGAATATTGTAAGTGTGGCATATTTTAGATCTAGATTAACATATCCATCTTGAATGCAGCTAAATGAATTTTCTGTGGTAACTCTCCCATCCTTTTTTGATGAATATTCTCTTTATTATGAATTAAAGGGCAATACTTGGTTAATAACAGCTTTTTTATGTATATGTCTGGATAGGTCTTGAACCATCCAAAATTGTGTTAGTAAAAAGAGAAAGCTAGGGTCATTTTGCAATTTTCTGTTATATATGATTTTATTTCCCCAGATGAAAATTTTATTACTTAATCAGTTTAAAAGTTCAAATGTTCAAATAATAATATGTGCTTGTAACAGAATTTGGAGGTATATCCTGCAAAAAAAATTAATTATACTTAATTTTTTTATATAGATATTTCATTCAGTCACACATATCCAAGGAAATCCAGCATACTTTGAATGTACTTAGAATACAGTATTCTGACACCAAAATAGATTGGTGGCCATTACTTTATTGAAATGATAATTAGAATAGTATATCAAATTTAAATCTTATCTAATAAGGAAACTCTTTATAGTATGATAGACGTTGATTTATACAGTCTCTACACTTAGAATCTCAACATTCTTTGGAGATGTGGTAATGTATTCCCAGAGAATAATCATAATCATTGATGCACATTATCTTTCATCTGATTTTTAATCCTCCTTATTTTGCTTTTCAGGGAGGAAGGCAGTTGAGAGTACCAAAGATATGAAACAGAATAACTGAGCTTTATTATGTGAAATTTCAAGGTGGAGCTTGAAATGATATGTTGGACACCAATGAAAACTGCTGTTTTGTGCTCGGTTATGCTGAACCAAAGATGTGTGATAATCAACAGGAGACAATTATGGAATCCTTATTTTCTTCCCAGAAGATTAATAAGTGAAGAAAAAAAGAGAAAAATCTTAGAAGAACGAAAGAAGATGAGGGAAGAATTCCAGGTAAAAGAAGCACAGTGGGAGAGCCTGGTGGACAGAAGCCTATTGTTAGATAAAGATGTGAAGATTTACGAGGAACATAAAGCTGCAGTTGTTCGAGGCCATTTTACATATGACGACCCTTTCACGGGATACAGAGTCATGACAAGACTACGTCATTTCTTAAGAGGCTCATGCTGTGGTAATGCCTGTAGACATGTAAGTATTTCTATAGATTTCTCAGAAAGAAGAAGGGTTTATGTATATTTTGTTTTCAAAAGTTGTTTTTATTTGTTGTCATTTGTTACAAGCAAATTGGCTGAGCTGTAATATCTCTTGTACACCTTGATACAAATATTATTCTTGAGTAAGATATATGATATGCCTGTTGATAATAGAAAAATTGTGTCCTTTCAGTGCATATATGAACATGAAAATGTAGCAGACATAGACAAAGCACGAAGAATCTACAATTCTGCATTTTGGGTGGATATAAGTGAAAGGCCTGATTTAGTGAAGAGGAACAAGGATTATGCAAAATCATCTCTGAACATGACAGACCGCAGGAAGGAATTTGGTCGAGGAAAGGAAGATGAATTATTAGAGGAAAGTTGTGATCCATTATTATTTAAACATTAAACCTTTTTAACAATTATGAAGGGCAAGAAAACTGTAATTATATAGATTCATTTACTAGAAAAACCTTATAATGAGTACATAATTATTTTTAGTTAGACACAAAGAAGCATGTGTTGTAACTTTTAACATGATATTTAGCAGTGAAGTACTGAACTTGCCTTGTATTTTAGATACAACAGAAAATCTTTTGTTTTTATATGAGAAAAAGAATTGCAGTACAACTAAATTTCTAATATAACAATTTCAAAATTGGTCTGTAATATGTAGGAAAACCATAGTTTCAATTACCAACAGGTCCATTTTTTCTCAGGTTCATTAACATCTCAGCTTTCAAATGAAAATTTATATATATAGGTTTTGTTAATGATATTTTGAAAATGTATGTACATTTATAGAAGTTGAAGAATAAATATGATTAAATTTT